CAAACATTGAAATGTCTACGTTTTATTTTGGCAGTAGGGTGTGAAGCTGGGAGCAGACTGTTTATTCCCAGGAGACATGGGACCTTGCTGGCATGTCTCCTTCACAGTCAGGCATGGGACTATCTGGCTTAGGACTGTTTCTCTCTAAGACACCATTGTTTTCTCTTATTTTAAAAGTGGTTTTTTTAGGACACAACTTCTTCCAAAAGAGAGGGATGGCTTTCCCAGAAGACACTTCCAGCCGTCTGTGGATTTGTCTGTGTGCACCTTTTGGCTCTTCTAGCTGACTCTCCTGGTTGGGCTTAGAGTCTGCTTGTCTCTGCTGTCTCCGTGTTTAGTCCACTTGGGTCATCAGCTCTGCCAAGCTGAGCCTGGCCGAGCTAGGTAGACAGACCCTTGCAGTGATGTCTGTTTGTCCAGATTCTGCCCATCATCACTGGACATGTCTCCCAAGGGTGCTCTAGCAAGGGGCGACATGATGGTGGCTATCAGACATGAACAGAAACTGACTTAGTGCTCACAAGCCCCTACACCTTCCAGGCTGAAGATCACCCACCTGTGTTTTTAGTTTTCTTACTGTGCTTAGGACTGCACGCAAGTGAGCAGACGCCACCGACTTCTTTCTGCGTCGCCAGTGTTGTCAGCAGAGAGAGGACAGCACAGGCTCAAGGTCAGTAGTGAGGTCAGATTCAGGGCACATGGGCTGTGGTGTTGTTCATCAGTTGCTCCAGCGTTTGAAATGAGATGACTCATGTTTGTGTCTGGAATAAGTTCTGTTCGTGCTGACAGGTGGCCTAGGTCCTAGGGATGTGCACCCTCTCTCTCTGGCCTTTAGAGAGTCCCCTCTTAGGCACTGCCCAGCAGCAAGGGCAGCAGAGTTGGGTGCTGAGATCCTGAGGAGCTCGAGGTTTCGAGCTGGCTTTAGACATCGGTGGGACCAAGGGTGTTTTGCAGAATGCCCCAATCCTAAGAAGGGCGCCAGGGGGTACATGCAGCCTGTGGGGGAGACTTCACACTGACAGTGGACACATGGCAGCCTGTGAACCACAGGGCCACTGCCACAGCCGGCAGAGGGGCAGGCTGTGTCCCTGTCTAGGAGACCTCACTGGCAGTGCTAGCCAGGAAACAGCGACTAAGGGACAAGAAGAGACTTGGCTAAAGCCACCCAGCAACTCAGCAGCAGAACCCATATGGGCCCCAGGCTCGTCCATATGGTCCAGGGCTTACCATCCTATCACACGTGGCCTTGTCTAGACCCAGTCCTGAGCAGGGGAGAGGCCCTGAGACCTGATGCCCTCTCAACCACACGTTCTCCCACTGCCCTGTCTGCTGTGCTGTTACAGAGGTGCAGGGCATCCCCCAGCCCACACTTAGGAATGCTTGGCCTCTGGCAGGCAGGCAGCTGTACCCAAGCTGGTGGGCTGGGGGCTGGAGGGCACCAGGCCTCAGGAGGAGCCTCATAGTCCTGCCTGCAGCCTGTAACCATCGGCTGGGCCCTGCAAGGCCCACACTCACGCCCTGTGGGTGATGGTCACAGTAGGTGGGTGGGGGCTGACCCCAGCTTCCAGGAGACTGTCACTGTGGACGCCAGAATGGCATAACTGAGATAAGGTGAATAAGTGAAAAATAAAGCCAATTTTTTACAAGGGACTTTGTCATGTTCTCTTAATTTTAAATTAGATTTTATTCCAAAAAAGGTCAGTGAGGCCCAAAGCTTGAGTGCAACTTTATCGTGTTAAAGGCTTGGCTGAGGCACTCAGGCATTTTGCCTGGAAAACTTCCCTTCTGATGGTCCTGTCAACCTGGTGCTCACATGTGTGGTAAAGTGAGACGGGTGCTGGGCCACATGGGGCTGCTGCTGGACTCTGCCAGTGAGGCAGAGCGCACTGGCTGCCCCGTGAGAATGCAGAGGCCTCTGCTGAGCCAGGGCACCTGCCACCCTGTGCAAGAGCGGGAATCCTCCACCAGGAGCCTAGGGCCCCAGGCCTTGAAACCCATCAAGCCTCAGCTCCAATACCCAGCTGGTGATTGGAGAAGTCTTAACTTGGCTGTAAGGCTGACCTCAGACCTGACCTGTAGCTGAGCCAGAAGGACCCAGCGTTGTGTGGGTGGGAGTGACAGGCTTTTGGCTGCTCCCCTGGAACATGTCTAGAAGTCTTTCTGTACCAAGCCCCAGCGGTAGGCCACATTTCCACTCTCCCCAGTCCTGGACAGGGCCTCACCCCAAACCTGCCATCCTGCCACCTGGGCTTGATGCTTCCTCAGGAACTTGAGGGGGCAGGTGGGTGGCCGACCCCAGGGCAGGCCTGACTAGGGCTGTGGAAGGTTGTTACTCCTTAGCTGGGCTCCAGCCTCAGTATTTCCTTGTCGTCTTAGACTTTTTCTTGGAAACTGATTTCCAAGGGGAGTTGGATTGAGGATGGTCCCTCTGAGACCACTTGATGGACAGGTGTGGGCCTGGCCTTGCAGAAGCCATAGTTCAGCACTGTTTTGAGGATGCCAGGACACATGTGCAGGCAGGTCTGCCCTGCGCTCCCTCTGCACCTGCTGGCCCCAGGAGCAGGCTCAGGGAAGCCCTGGACAGCAGCATAGCACGTGGCCTCAAGCTCTAGACCAGCCAGGTGCTATGAAATGCTGAGGCAGGCAGGGTGCTTGCCAACAAAAATACATTAAAAAACCTCCTACCCCAGGGAAGCAGTAGGCCATCTCTCGTGGCTGTGGCCCCGCTCGCCTGGGAGCAAAAGGAGCCCACATTCCAGCCGCCATGTGTGGTTCGAGATGGCAGGCCCTGGTGTGGCTCACTGTGGCGTCTCTCCACCTGGCTCCTCCCTGTGCACAGGGAACCCTGAAGCAGTGCCTCATGCACAGTGATAGGTGGCAAGGCTTATTCTTTTTCCGTTGGGGCAGGCACTGTGCCAGCCACTTCCTGCATGCACTCTCACTTCACCCCACTAGAGGCCCAGGAGGAAACAACTTGATCCATTTTACAAGTGAAGAAACTGAGGCCCAGGGAAATAAAGTGTGGCCAAAAGTCACTTAGCCACCAACCCAGGACAAAAAGCCTAAGGCTCGCTTCCTACCCTAAGTCCCTGTTTGGCTGCTGGGCCTGCCTCCAGGTACTTCTGCTAAGGACCTGGGGCAAGGAATGAGGGGTCTAGGGAAACAGGCCCCACACAGGGAGCTTCCTGCTGGTCCTTGGCTCAGAGGCAGCACCATTTCAACTGGCACTCTGCTTCATCCGTGGTGCTGCTTTACCACCACCTCCCTGGACCTGCTGATGCCCCGCCCCACATCCCTCCCCCAGCCTGTGCTTTGCCGAAGGCAGGCCAGCATGAAATCCTCAGGAAGCTAACATCTTAGTCCTGAGCCTCCCATCTTAGTCCTGAGCAGCCTAAACCTCATGGCCTGGGGAAGAGCAACAGATTCCTGATGAAGGCCAGGGGATAGACGTGGCACCGTCTGAGTCAGCAAAAGCCCCAGCTTGAACTTCAGCACCCACCAATACCTGGTTCTGGAGAGCCAGGTGTGCCCCTAAGTGGTAGTGCCCACCTCACTCCCCTGCCCCAAACCCTTCTAGGGCCACATCACCCACTCCTTTCCACTCAGCAAACATTATTGAGCCCCACAAGAAAATGGAACAGAAGGTGCTTCTTCCCTCGAAAGCTCCTGCACCAGCAGTAAGGGTTCTGCAGTGTCTGTCAAACCTATGGGCCTTGTTTCATCTGCTGTCTGCCTGACAAGCTCCTGTTCATCCTTCAAAGCCCAGCTCAATAAGACTGGAAACATCTAAATGGCTATCGGAGGGGGCTGAATAACTTACAGCAGCTCCTCCCTGTGGAAAGGAACTAGGAGGACATTCTTTCTATGTTGAGTTAGAAAAATCTCCAAGATATGCCATCAAGGAAAAATACAGCAAGAACCAATAATGTATTCTACTATTTGTGTTTAAAAGCAAGGTGGGAAGCAGCTAATAGACTACATTAGGAAAAGGTGTAGCAATTTCTCATAAAACTAGACATACACCTTCCCTACACCCAGCTATTCTGATCCTGGGTACTGAAAGCCAAGATGAAAATATATACCTATACAAAGACTTGTACAAGAATGTTCATAATAGCTAAAAAATAGGGAACAGCCCAGATGGCCATCAAATAGATACATGTGGTAGATCCACATGGTGGCATTTTACCCAGGAATAAAAAAGAACAAACTACCCATACACACCACAACTCATGAAGCTCAAGAGCTAAGTGAAAGAAACAAGTCATGTTGTATGATCCCATTTACATGAAATTCTGGAGCAGGCAAACCTAATCTATGGCAAAAAATAAAATAAAAATCCTAACAGTAGTTGCCTCTAGTGTGTTAGAGGTTGGCACAAGGAACTTTCTGGCAACAGTAATATCCTTGACTGGAGTTCGGGTTTCATTAGTCAGAACTCAGGGAGCGGTCCACTTAGGATTTGTGCCTTTCACTGTATTTTTAACCTTTAAAAATAACCATAAGCAGCCAGGCACAGTGGCTCATGCCTGTAATCCCAGAACTTTGGGAGGCTGAGGCGGATGGATCACCTGAGGTCAGGAGTTTGAGACCAGCCTGACCAATATGGAGAAACCCCATCTCTACTAAAAATACAAAATTAGCTGGGTGTGGTGGCACATGCCTGTAATCCCAGCTACTTGCGAGGCTGAGGCAGGAGAGTCACTTAAACCCAGAAGGAGGAGGTTGCGGTAAGCAGAAATTGGGCCATTGCACTCCAGCCTGGGCAATTGGAGCGAAACTCCATCTCAAACAAACAAACCCCACCATAAGCAAGTACTGAACTCTAGATAATGATACACATGCTTAACTATTTATAGAAGATCGCTGACTGTGTCCGCAGCTCACTTTGAAATGCACAGAAGACTGATGACAGACTGGCAGGTGGAGGGGGGATGGATGGTCAGTGCGTAGATGACAGGGATATGGGGGCTCACCTGCAATCTTTTTTATTCCCCCAAAGGGGGTACACCATTTCTGGAGGTACTGCAGGTGGATGCATGGAGTGGAATGAGCAAGGCCCTATTCCATCCATCTCCCTGCTCCAAAATTCCATTTAATATACTCGAATATCGGATATCGGATAAAAAACTGTTAAGAACACATACCACACTTGATCTCAGCCAAAAGGCTAAGAGGCAATCAAGTGTAATTCCTGCAGTTTTCCTTGTGACATGTTGCATAATCAGTGTTGGGAAGGTGCTATGAGTGTGTGCTGCCTCAGGCACAGCCTGGCCATCTCTAGAGGAACACATCGGTGTAAGGCAGGCACTTCTGGAGAGGGAACAGGAGGCAGGGGGCAGGTGTGGAAGGAGGTGTTTCACGGTACACCCTTTGACAATTTTCCATTAAAAAACTAAGTGTATATACTTTTTTAAAATCGAAAGCCCCACTTAGTAAGCCTTCCCCCACTACTCTTCCCCGCATGTACGTGGGGGGACACACACCTTCCTCTCTTCCCTCCAGGGCTTCAACCTCCCTTGCTGGGAAGTCATGCACAAGCTGGGCATGACTTCGAATCCTGGACCCCTGGGCTAGGCCTGGCCATGCCCTCATGGGGGCAGTGCGGCGGGGGCGGGGCCTGGGTCCGAAACGCCACGGACGCGGCACTATGCACGTCCGCCCACGCGGGGGCGCTGTGTCCTCGCAAGCTCCCGCGGGGCGCCGCACGGCCCTGGGGAGGCTGTGGTTTTCGAGCGTAAAAGGGAGAGTGGCTGGCACTGCCTCCGCTGCCGCTTGGCCCTGAGATCCCACCGCTCACGGGATAGGCCCCAACCAACCCAGCCGGACCCTCTACCCTTCCCCTCATTTCCCTCCCCTTGGCAGTTCCGGCTTCGGATCAGTCCCACACTCGCGCCCGGCTGTCCCCGCTGCGCTCGTCACTGGCTTTGGGAAGTCCTCCGGCCGCCTCAGAGCAGCTGGCACGCGGCTCCTCCCTAGCGGCGTGTGGATATTTGGGTTGGGCGGGCCTCTCCCTCCCGAGTCCCTAGTGGATCCCGGCGCTCTGGCATGGGCGAGGCCAGCCGGCTCTTGCCCCGGTCACCCGGTGGGGCTGAGCAGGGCTCTACGGTGCGCTGAGAGCGCTCAGGGCCTCCCCAACAGCATGACCCGACCCAAGGATGAAGCTCTGGGGAACAGGACCACTTGCGAGGACCGCTGAAGGAGCAGAGTGGGGCGGCCGGCATGAAGGGGCGGGCCCTGCCTTCCCGCAGGCCTGGTGGGAGGGGTGAAGAACTTGGAGCCCTGGGACCTGTGGAAGGGTTTTGGTCGGGGTCCTGGCAGTCAAGTCTGGGTTCTCAAAGATGGTTGGGACAATGGGCGGGAGGCCTGCAAAAGCCGAAGAGGCTGGTAGACCTGGTGGCTGAGGCCTAGGCCAGGCAGGACTCGCGGTGCAGAGGTCACATTAGGTGTCATCCCTCTTCCCCCCACCCCGCAGGCCTAAGTCACTCAGGCCCTTGTGTTACGGTGGCATCGGGACCTCTACCCACTACATGCACGCGGCCCCGTGAACACCTGCGCCGTGTGTGCCCTAGACCTGCGACCTGCACCCCACCGTATCCCGCCCCCCCATTCCCCGCACGTGGCTCTAGTGAGTGTTGTGTGCCGTTCGCCGCGTCTCAGCACGTACCCCACCGTGTCCCTCTGGGTGCGGGGTTCGCGCGCCTGTGCCCTCCCCGCAGCTGCTGGCGTCCCCATTAATCACGCGGCGCTGACGGCGTGGATCTGCGCGCTGGCGGCGTGACGGTGACGGTGATGGCGGGTGACGGAGCGGGCAATCGGCGGGCGCCCATCGGCCCATCTTATCGCGCCGGCCCAGCCACCGCCCGCCGCTCGCCGCCCATTGATCGCGCCAGGCAGGGGCCGGGGGTCAGCACGGGCCGGGCCGGCCTGACAGCAGCATCCATCGCTGCCGAGACGCGCGCTGATGGCGGCCCTGCAGGCAAGGCCCGGCCATTAATCACCGCGCCTGTCGCCGAGTGACGGGGAGGGGCGGCAGGGCAGCAGGGGCAGACAGGCAGCCACTGCAGCCAGCCCACCCCCTTTCCATTCCGGGGCCTTGCAGTGTGGCCCGCCCTGCACCCTGAGCTCCCCAGTCCCCTTGCCCAGGCCTCCCTTATTCCTTATCCTCGTGCTCTCTCGAGAACAAATGGAAGGGGAGTGGCCACACACTGGAGGAAGCAAGGAAGAGGAATTTCTGTGTGGAGAATGAATGACCACGGTTGAAGGGGTGAACACTGTTCTACCTCTCAGGGACCTCTTTTCTAGACACCAAATAAGAGCGGGTCTGGCCTTACAAATACCAGCGCTGGTTGGGACAAGGGAGTGATCAGGAACCCCCCTCTGGCTGCTTGGGCACAAGCTGAGCCTCACCGAGGGTGGGGTTCTAGGGCCCCTGGGAGAAGCAATGTGTTGTTTCTGGCAGTTGCCCCGTGCTACCCTCTGCTCTAGAGTTGTATTGTCCTGAGCCAGTGCTGGCCCCTCTGGGCTAAAGGGCTTTTTCCAAACATGGGGGGATCCTAAGTGTCCTTCCAAGTGCCAGCATCTGGAATAGGGAGGGGGAGGGCCTAGCAGGCTGCTTGCTCCAGTTTGACAAACTGCGACCTCTTTTTCCAAGTGGGCCAGGGATCAGGAACTCTTCACCACCCTTCTCTCTTGGGTACCTGATGCAGCCACAGGTCAGTTCACCAAGTCCTCACATGGGTCTACGGGATGTGAATGTCCCACTCACACACCAGGAAACCAGATGTCAAGGGGCTAGGGCCAAGGGCCACACAGAAGAAAATGCAATCAATGCCACACCCTGCTGAGCCCCAGAACCCCTGGTCCCTTCCTACTGAGCCTCTGCCCACAGCCCTCCAGAGCAGGGCCTTCTTGGGGCACTCCAGCTGCTCCGCCCACGGCTGGCCACAGTTTCTGAGAGCTAGAGGTCGACTGGGATGTGACCCCATTCCCCTTCTTTACTACACAAATGGCTAAGAAAGGTTTGCTAACCAAGAAGTCACTCTGGTGTGAGAGCACGATCCATTTAGTCCTAAAAAAACAAACTATCCTACCAATCTGGCATGTGTAAACCTAAGATGTGTGGCAGTTAAGAAGGTGTCTGCACTGAGAAAATGAGGCAGGACACAAGGGGGTTTCCCTGCCAGGGCCAGGGACTTGTCTTTCAAGAGCCCTTCCCAGTCTTACAAGTATCTTTGGGCCATTAGCACAGGAAACAGGGCGCTGGGATTTATGTGAAAATTCTTCCCTCTCTCTCCTTAGCCACCCAATCGGCTCCCTGGGAGGCACCCAAGAAGCCTGGGCTGAAAGCCTGGAATATTCAACCACTTCCAATGACTAGCCCCCACCCTGCCTCACTTTAATATTACAATAATTTTTCACACCAGAGCTGAAATAGCGCAAAAAATGGGGCTGCTGTAATTGTTGTTAGATTGTGTGTCAGTCTGATAAGATGTAACAAATATTTTCTTCCCCACCAGGGTCTGTTTCCCTCTTAGTAATGGATAGAGAAACTTCTCATAGTCGGCGAGGGATCAGTCGTAAAAACTTCACCTGAAAGATTAATGTAATAATCACAGGCCTTGCTGGAAAAAATAAGGAAAATTAAAATAACCCAACCTTCCTACCTATTCAGAACCATCTCCCTCACTTTGGAGCACAGACCAGTGAGCTGGGCCATCTCTCTGGGCACTACCTCAGCCAGGATATCTGAGGAGCAGGAACCAGGGGTCTGTGGCCTGGGAGGAGCAAGACCACAGTCCCCTCCTCACCTGGCTGCTCTGGATGTTGGTACCTTGGGCAGCGGAAGAAGACTGTCCCGATCGCGGCTGTGAGATCTGCAGTCAGTGCCGCTTCCATCCTGGTTATCAAACACTGTGAAAGGCTTGGGGCCTAAGTGAGACGCCCAGCTGGGGCAGAGGCCTGGTTCTTGCCCTCTAAGTGGGTCACCATCCCCACAGAGAACCCAGCTTCCCTCACCTGCCTGGTACAGAGGTTAGATCCTGACACCTCCTGGCTGCCGCTAAATGACAACCATGCAACACCCAGAAGGAGGCAGTGTGGCCCCAAGAGTTAGGAGCACAGGTTCCGAGCAGCCTGATTTCAAATCCTGGTTCCATCTCTCACCAGCTGGGCAAGGGAGTTGCCTGAACTGCCCCCTCCTCCTCTGTGGAAGTGGACTTGAACTAGCGCACCTATCTCAGTCTCATAGGGTACTGTCAAGGCAACACGGAATGCAGAGCGTGAACACAGTCCCTACTGCAATAGCTCTTGCTACATCTCCCTTCTGTTTGTCTAACATGGCTTGAGTTGGGAGGCCAAAGACAAGCACAGCCTCAGAGGACACTGACAGCTGGCATGGGCCACATGAGCAGTTGACTTCATGAAGGGTCCTACCACTCCCGCCGGGCCATGCCAGGGTCTCCTCAGAGGCCAGGCCCAGGGAGAAGAGTCACTCTGGCAGAAAGGACGGGCTGGAGCCTCTTAGTCTGGATGGAATCCCCAGTTATCATCTCCGCCCCCTCCCACTGTCCCCTCAACATGACTACAGGGGACTGTCCCTAATGGAAGGACAATACTGCTTGTCCCACAAGAAGCTCATAGTTTGGCCAAAAGCAATGGACCAAGATGCCCATCCTGGTCAGTCTCACCTCCCACATCATAAGGGCTCGGAGGTCCAGTCTGAACTTGCACATGGAGCAACTGTCAGCTGTCTAACTTGCACATGGAACAGAGTCCGGGTGCTCAGCCCCACCTCAGGTAGGGGAAGACAGGCCTGGCAAGGGCAAGAACGCAGCACTCATCCTACTGGGAAGGCACATTCCAATAAGGTGCACTATCCAGTGCTGCATTTGCCCTTGCTGCTTACTCAGTGGGTGAACACAGAGATATGGCCAGAGAGATGTGGACACATCAGAGGGACACACAAGCCAACTGACAGAGCGCTCACTGGCCAAACCTGGCTCAATTTGAGCAACAAAATATATCTACTAAAGTATACAATGAACTTCCATGAGTCCATCCTGATACAATCTCCCATGCAGGAGAATCCCAAATAATTTCCGTAAATATTCAGTTCTCTAGAGGTGAGCATAACCCCAGCCCTTTAAGTGTGGGCTGCACATAGTGACTTCCTTCCCAATA